TAAAGCCATTCTTTTTTAAAAGACTTTTGTGGGTGGTTGGCGGGTGCTTTGGTGTGGTTTGCTTATTATTTCCTATCAAATATATATAGTCCTTATATCCCCTTCTTCTTTTTTAAGTTTGTTAATCTGTTGTAACACCTCTAATCTTCTGGCGCTCAAATGACCTTATGCAGTTACGAGCGCCGTAAAACCCTTACTTAAAAAAAAACAACAACCGTTTACAGCCTTGGTTTCTCTTTGTTCGTTTATGAAATTTATACAAAAAAAACCCCACACAAACATGATGTCAACGTGCTGCAATAATATGAGAGAGATAGACAGACAGACAGACAGACAGACAGACAGACAGACAGACAGACAGACAGACAGACAGACAGACAGACGCATAGACAGAGAAAGACATAAAGATACAGAAGAGGGGAGGCTGGAGATATAAGGACGGATATAAGGACGGGACAGAGTAAAAGTAGAGGCACACCTATTCAGAGAGGTAAAACATAAAAAGCACGTGAGTAATAAATGAACAAACACAAAATGCCAAATCGCTATCTTGATTTATTCTGTACTATGTCTAGCCCAAAGGGCCTTTTACAATTCATCTGGTGGTATAAAATACTAACTTTTCTCTCACAACGAATATGCATTCTCCATGAAAACTAAACAAGGTAAAACACAAAACGCCAAACAATAGCAACTTTTAACAAACATTTTACACAAATATACACATCCCCCCCCCAAAAACAAAAACAAACAACGACAACCGGCAAACGTAACACACTTTGTACATCTCACCCCCCCCCCTCTTTCCCATCACTCCATCATTCACCCACTCTCACCCTCTATGTCCAAGCATCTATTTTCTCTCTCTCTCTCTCTCTCTCTCTCTCTCTCTCTCTCTCTCTCTCTCCCCTCCTTTCATCCCTCCATCTCTACCCCCCTCCACTGCTCTTTCTCTCTCCCCTCCCCACTCTCTCTCTCATCCCCACTCTCTCTCTTATCCCCACTCTCTCTCTCTCTCTCTCTCTCTCTCTCTCTCTCTCTGTGTGTGTGTCTCTCCCTCTCTCTATCCCTCCCCCTCCCTCCCTCTCTCTCTCTCTCTCGTCTCTCTATCTGAACCAGGGAGGTACAGCCGCCTTGTCCCACGTGACCCTCTCCTCCTCTTGCTGAGTCCGTCTCACTTTCTGCATCTCCGTCAGTTCTTTCTCCATAGGCGGCGTCTTGTCCTTGAAGATGTCCGGGAACTCGAACTCTTGTCCGTCCTGAGAGAGAGAAAGAGAGAGAGAAAAAAAATAGTGAAGTGGAATAGGTTTAACGCCCCAAGCAACACTACTAGGTTATTGAAGGGGAGGGACGTCCGAGTATAACCCACAGGGCAAGAGACCAAGGGGAAGACCTCGTGGAACCTGGAGAAGAATCACAGAAATCGATGTACAGACAAGTGAGAAGACAAAGAATAACATCAAGAGGCTAGCCCAGGATAGAGAAAGGTGGAAGGTGTTTGTCCATGGCCTATACCCTGGTGCAGGGTGAGAAAGGCAATGATGATGACATCCGAGTATAACGTCCGTTTCCGAAAGGACCGAGCCAAATAGGATATCCGTGTAAGGTGTCTTTCCCCAAGGACACAACGTCGGACCGAGCTGAGACTCGAACCTCCGACCCTGCAATCTCACGATGCCAATACAGAGAGAGAGAGAGAGAGAGAGAGACAGAGAGAGA